GGTGATGGTGGTGATGATGATGGTGTCCCGATGATGATGATGATGATGTTGATGATGATGATGATGATGTTGTTGATGATGATGATGATGAGGTTGATGATCCTTATGATGTTGATGATGATGAGATGATGATGATGATGATGAAGAAGGTGATGATGATGATGATGATGATGATGATAATGATGATGGTGTCCCGATGATGGTGATGATGATGATGGGATTGCGGATGCTGCTGTTCATGATGATGGTGATGATGATGGTGTCCCGATGGTGATGGTGATGATGATGATGATGTTAATGATGATGACGATGATGGTGTCCCGATGATGATGCTGATGATGTTGATGGTGAGGATGATGGTGAAGTGATGACGACGATGATTTTGATGATGGTGGCCCGATGATGGTGATGATGATGTTGATGTTGATGATGACGATGATGATGTCCCGATGATGATGATGAGGATGATGGTGATGATGATGGTGACGATGATGATGGTGTCCCGATGATGATGATGATGATGATGATGATGATGATGTTGATGATGATGGTGTTGATGATGCTGTTCATGATGATGATGATGATTGGATGGTGATGATGGTTGTGTTCCGATGATGATGATGGTGTCCCGATGATGATAATGATGATGATGATAATGATGATGATGATGGTGACGATGATGGTGCCCCGATGATGATTGTGATGATGGTGATGGTGATGATGTTGATGGTGATGATGATGATGGTGATGAGGTGATGATGATGGTGTCCCGGTGATGATGATGTTAATGATGATGACGTTGATAACGATGGTGATGTTGATGATGATGATGAATTTGATTGTGAGATCGATTATGATATCGATAGTGAGATCGATAGTGATACCGAATGTGATATTAATTCTGAGATCGATAGTCAGATCGATTGTGAGATCGATCGAATGCAATAGATCGAATGAGATCGATTGTGAGATCGATCGAGTGAGATCGATCGAGGGAATCCGATAGTGAGATCGATAGTGAGATCGATAGTGAGACCGATCGAGAGAGACGTTGGTTCCTCCCCCCCCGAACCTCCTTATCACCCGAAGGGTGGTCGTATAGGTAGGTTTTACGACGGGTCGTGATTCTGGAAGCGCAGCTCCACCGAATCGAGTCTCAGGACAATTGGAAGCTCTGAGAACACAGTTGGGGGAGGATTTAATGCCACTTATGGCCTTGGCTGGTCGCGCGCTTGGGAGCCATAAACTATGTTGTTATGAGGGATGATTGAGCTCATAATAAGTCACAGATGCAAACCTGCTGAGTTCCAAAGTATGTTCCAAGATTACGGAACGATTGTCCAGTTGCACTGGTAACGCAAGATAAGCCTGTGCCGCGCGGCTTAATGGTCCCAAAACAAAGGGGGCGTGCCGGTCAAAGGAAGTTTCCAGACACCCTCACACGACCTTCTTTCTCCCACCCCACCCCCTCTTCTGCTGGTGAAGGGGGGTCGGCGTATGCAGGCCAGGTGTATCGATCCCATTTTGTGCCAGGGGTCCTCGGTGTCCAGCGCCACGATGATGAGGCCGATGGGGAAGAAGTTGTCTGCTGCGCCAGTCTCGAAGAAGAAGCTGCGCGGCCCCAAGTCGGCGACGACCTTGCCGCCAAACACGGCTCTGTCGGCTCCGACCACCATGACCAAAAAGGGGATCCAGATCAAGAACCAGGTCCTCCAGCACAGTGCCGCAATGCTCGAGTCAAAGCAGGACCAGCGACTTGAAGCATGTGTTGCTATATTTCTACATGTCTCTCTCTCTCTCTCTTTCCCTTTCGCTCTCGCCGCAGAATGACCAGCGACCTTATCGGGACTGCCTGTTGATCTCTGGCGCGTACCAGTCGTTACCCAGGACACACACAAACACACACTTGGTCATGGTGACGATCGTACGTGGGTAGGGCGGGGGGGCTTGGACCCCCCCGTTACATGTTTGTGCCTACGCACATACTCTGGCTACAGTCAGGGTGCTGAAGAAGAAACCCTTTTCGTTGGGGAGGGGCTCTGTTTTCCTTGATCGTTTCACAGTTTGCCTCAGGTTGTCCTCAGGTTTTCGATGGGAAAGCGAAGTTCCACTTGTGGAAAGAAGGGGGCCCGTTCCTTGTTTAGGGCTCCTTGGGCCAAAGCCCCGACTGTATCGCTGAGCACCCCCGCCCCGACGTGCCCTTCCCCGCCCACGCGTTACCGTTACCCGGGGCCCCAACCTCCCCCCCCCCCGGGGAAACGACCAGCACCAGCAAAGAGTAACTCAGAGCGTGACTTACCTGCCCCGCTTTCGCTTCCAGGCAGAACCAAGTCATACCACGCGCCTCCTCGTCAAGCGGCCTGGCCAGTACAGGCCGTAGTTTGGCATCGCTTGGTATCTCTTGGAAGCGAGGGTGGTCAAAAGCGCCCTCCCCCCCCTCCTCCACCTCCTCCTCATCAATGTCACGAGGAGGAGGAGCAGGAGGAGGAGGTGGAGGAGGAGGAGGAGGTAGGTTTGCTTGCCCCCTGGTAACAATAGGTCAGCCAGCGTGAGCCCCAGACAGTGTGACTATAGCAGAATATGTTGTGCAATCGGGGTGGATCCATAGATGTACCCCTCGGTCGTTGAAAGTAGGTATTTTGGGATTCCCAGATTCCAATCTACTTTGAGCGCCTTCCTACTTCACGAGTCGAGTGGGTTTCCCTCTTCCCTCCTCTTCAGGAGGCGGGCGGAAACCCAATCTATTTCCAACGCCTTCCTACTTCATGTTTCTACCTACTTCTTCCGACCGATGGGTATATATACATATATATATATGTATAATAACTACGGCGGGCCCCCTCTCGGGGCGTCCTCCAAAAACAGCTGCCTCGTACCAGGGCTCGTTTTCCTTATGTGTTTTTGTTACCGGGTTTCCGCGTCCGGGGCCTCGGATGCCGCCGCCTCCGACCCCCCGTGGGAGGACGGGGCGGCCGGGGAGGTCCAAAAGTCCAGGAGGGCCTTCAGAGGCTCCCAAGACGGCCCAAGCGGGCCCGAGTCGCCGAAAGACCGCTCCAGGACGCCCAAGATAGGCCCAAGACGGCCCGAGAGGCCCCCCAAGGCACTCCACGACGCTTCAAGACGCCTCTCCAGAGCGCTTCGAGAGGCCGAACCCGTCGATTTTACTAAGATTTTCGAACGATTTCGGCCTTCCAGCCTTTTCGGCTGTCCGACGTTCCAAGACGGCTCCATAGGCCCCCAAGAGCGCCCCAAGACGGCCCAAGAGGGCCTAAGACGGCCCCAGAGTCGCCCAAGACAGCCCAACAGAGCCCCAAGACGGCCCCAAGATGCGCCCAAGAGGGGGACCACGACTCCAAAATTCGACCCTCCCGCTTGAAGAGTGCCCCAAGGAGCCCCCAAGAGGCCCCAGGAGGCCCCCAAGAGGCACCCAGGAGGCCCAAACGAGGCCTAAAGAGGCCACAAAACAGCCCCGAGGAGGCCCCACAACGGTCCCAAAACGGCGACCGAGAAGTTGCCAAACTGCCTTCACGACGTCCCCGACAGGCCAACCACGAGATCCAAACCAACACCCATGAGGCCTCTGACCCACCACCCAGGGCACGGTGGCGGGAGCAGTGACAGCACGTGTGCACAGCATGTTCCGGCGGGAGCCTTCCGGAACGCGCTGCAGGAGGAGGAGGAGGAAGATCAGGAGGAGGGAGAGTTGGAGTGGGAGGAGGAGGAGGAAGAGGCCTCCCAGACTCCAAGATAGCCGAAGAGGCTTTTCCGTAGCCATTTTGGCTCAAGCCAAGTTTTGCCAGATTTCGAAACAGCGCGCTGCATTCTTCATTGCATCATGTTCCGTTGCCTCCGCCCGGCTTCCTTGGACATGGCGTTGATTCCTGGGTGTCACTTGTCGACGTCCAAGAGCCTCGACCGCCTCAGGGCGCTGAGCAATAAGAACTCATCGAAGCGCTGGGTCAGGCTGGTCAGCGCATCGACGACCGCATGTGAAGACGAAGACTTCGGGTCCATGATGGGTGAATTCAGCGAGTCGGATGATGACGAGGACCTCGAGCCCAGTTGGTCGGATGATGACGAGGACCTCGAGCCCAATTGGTCGGCTGATGTCGAGGCCCTCGAGCCCGACGCGGCGGATGATGGCGAGGCCCTCGAGCCCGACGCGGCGGACCGCTGCGATACCTCGCCGCTCGACAGCCTGCTGCGGAGGGCACGGCGCTGCTCCGCCGCCCTGCGGGGGACGACCGACGGCCTCGCCCTCGGGCAGGGGGCGACCGGGGCCTGGGAGCCCAGCGCGGTGGGCCGCCGCGGGCCCGGCTCGCCACTCGGAGAGATGCTGCTGGCGGCGAAGCGCCGGAGCGCTTTCGCCTGCGGCTTCGGGCCTCTGCGTGAGACGCGCGCGGCAGACTCGCCCTTCTGCGGCACGTGCAGCCGCGGGCGCGTCGCGGGAGCACCCTTGCCCGAGGCGTCGGGCTTCTCGCCGTGAGCGCGCCCGCGTTCCTCGTGGACCACGCGGCACTTCGGGGTCCGCACCTGCTGAGTCTGTGGCAATTTGCGAGGGGCGAACTTGCCTCTCGGCAGTTCCCAGATCGGAGGCTCTTCCTTCGTTGGAGCGAATATGTGCTGTGGCAACCGCGCACGGGCAGCACTTACTTTTAAGGCCGGCCGAAATGGCCACTGGCGAGACATTTGGCGGCAGTCTGAACAGGTGGCAGCATCAGCGCTTCCCAGCACCATGCTGTCTGGTCATCAGCCTTTGAACCTTCTTTCTCGGAGGAGTTTGCCTCCCCACTCGAAGTTTCTCGCCCAGCTTTGATACTTCGCTCTTTCCTTCTGCCCTCATCCTCGTCCTCCGTTTCACTCACTTGAGAGACGATTAGTCACCAAGAGGGCGAGTTCGATCAGAAATGGGCGCCCCAGTTGGGGGTGATGTTTTTGGATTGCATCAGCTTTCGATGCTTGTCTATCCAGAGACTCGGCCGCCCCACCGGAAGGTTCTCGCCCAGCTTCGCTCATGATTCTCGTCCTCTTCTCCGTTCCTTGTCATTTCAAGTCGTATCTACGCGCCCCGAGCGTTGCTTATGCTGGTGCCAACTGGGCCAGGGAGGGGCACTGTAGGGCCGCCCGCCATGCGGTTTCAAGCTCGAACGCCTTGATTTTTCTACTCTGTGCGTCTGAAGGGCGGCTTTTGTGCTGCTGGTTCTCAGGCTTGTGGGTCGTCGCCGGGCGAATGCCGCGCGCGGGCGCCGGCGAATGCCGCGCCGGGCGAATGCCGCATCACGAGGGTCGCACCTGCTGCGTCTGACTGCGGCACCTGGCGGGGCGCGAATCTGCGTCCAAGGCTCTGTGGGCGGCTCCAAGCCTCGTCATTCCCCGAGCAGCGCGCGAGCGCTGTAAGGGCTTTGGGCTCTCAGAGGAGTTGCGACCTTGGGACCAAGATGCCACTGTTTGTTCACCTACAGAATGCGGGACAGTTTTCTTTGTCGTGTCGTGCCGGCCACGTGTCTCATTGTGCAGCGTTGGTGTTTGTGTCCGTTTGCCAGTGTATGGTTCTTCCGCTGGAGCGAACCAGTCCTGCGCCGGATATGCGTCGGCAGTATGTCCAAGTCCAAGATTGTGTGGGCGAAAGACCCATCCGTCTTGGGCAAGCCAGCTGGCGGCTGGCTGAACAGCAGGCGTTATTTTTGTTCTCTCATCCTCGTTCTCCGCTTCGTTCCTCTTCGCCCAAGCAACTCGAGAAATGAAAGAAGGGGTAGCCAGCTGCAGTAGGATCATGCGAAATACTTGCTATACCTGCTACCAGCTGTATTTTTCATTGTCGTACGCCGAGTGGAAGTCCACCGCGTCGACAGCAAATGTAATTTGTCGCGTTGCATGCCGCGTGGAAAACGTCCACCGCGCCTGCAACAGCTCGTCTGCCGCTTGGAATGTGCTTCCATTGGTCCGCCCCCCCCCCAAAAAAAAAAGATTGCTGAAGAAGCTTCCAAGAGGGCCCTGGGCGGCCCACGAGGGCCCCAAGGCGGTGCCTGAGGCGCCCAAGACGGCCCGAGAGGACCCCAAGACGGCCCCAAGAGAGGCCCAAGGAGGGAAACACGAACCGAGAATCCGAGCTTTCTACCCCGAGAGGTTCTCGGGAAGTCTCAAGAGGCCCCCAATCGCATCCAAGAGGCCCCCAAGAAGCTCCCAAGAGGGCCGACGAGGTTCCAAGAGATCTCCCAAGGTGGCCCCAAGAGGCACAACTCATTGTTTTACGATTGGGCTTTTTCGGCCTTTTGGCATCCCGATGCTCCAAGACGGCCCAAGAGGCTTCCAATACCGGTCCCATATAGAGGAAGAGGACTCCAAGAGGGCCCCAAGACGGCCCCCGAGGGCCCCAAGACGGTGCTTGAGGCGCCGCCCGAGAGGGCCCCAAGAGCCCCAAGAGAGGCCAAAGAAGGGGAACGCGCCCAACAGCAGAGCGGTCCCCCCCACGGCCCACAGGAGGCCGCAAGAGGCCCCAAAAGTGGTCCGACGAGGACCCCAAAAGCTTCCCGAGTGCCCAAAAGGCCCTTAGGAGACGTCCAAGAGGCTTTAAAATAGCCCAAGGGTGCCCTCGATGCGTCAAAACTGCGTCCAGAAGGGCCCCGGGAGGCGTCCGGATGGCCTCAATCTGGCCGCGGGTGGCCTCCAGTCGGGCCTCCACGCGGCCAAGACGGCCAATGACGGCTTCAGGTTGCAGAACCGATGCCCCCAAGGGACCCTCAGACGCCCCCCCCCAAAAAAAGGACACCCAAGGGATGCCTCCAACAGCCAGCTGACGAAGCATGCGGAGCACCCCAGAAGCTCCTCTGATGCCGTCGCGCGCTTATGCTTGATAGCGTTGCCCAAGGTCGCCCAGTGCCCCCCGGCCTGGGAGCGCGCGCGAAGCGCGCGCGATGGTTCTAGTGTATGTGTATATATATACACATATGTATGGAGTCCTCTCTCTCTCTTTCTCTCTCTCTCTCTCTCTCCCTGTACCTTCCTCAATGTGTCTCCCTCCCTCCTTTCTCTCAGTGGTTGACTGTTTGTCTGTCTGGTTCTTTCGATGAATCACGTTTTCCCTTATCCGTTCCAAAAAGGCTCACAGGGTCCGTATGGGACGGCTTGTCAAGCAGCTTCGATAGCAAATGTGAGAAAAGGGACTATTTGACCTTAGTGAGGAAACGCTGTGGGCAGGATGATGTTCCGTTTTCCCTGCCGAAGGACGACGGCGCCGCGGCGGGACCCGCAACCGCGCCCGGCGCTGGAGCTGCCGGGGCGCCTTCGGAGTCAGCCCGCCCCGCCGACGCAGAGGCCGCGGGCCCGCAGCACCAGAACGATGCCCACGACAGCGTGCGCGGCGGCAGCCCCCCCCGCGCAGGCGATGGGCGCCCCACTGGCGAAGCAGAGGAGCTCAGGGGCAACGATACCGGGGGATGGGCTCAGGGGGGGGCCTCCGGCCACAGCCGCCAACTCATCGCCGGCGGGGCCCCCATGGCCCACCCCGCCCGTTGAACGTGCGGACACGCCATGAGGCGCCGGCCGCCGATCATCGCCGGCTCTGGGTCGACGTTTCTCCCTTGGGCCGAACCCCCCCTCCACGCTTCCCCCCAGGAGTTGGCCGCGCAGGTGGAGCAGAGCCACCCTCCCTGCCCCAGCGCGGGGTGCGCCCGCGCCCCCGACGGCGGCCCGCCGCCGCAGAGCGTGCTGGCGGGCGGCGGGGTGCAGCCGGAGGGCGCGGGGCCCCCGTCGGTGTCGTCACGGCTGCCCCGGGGCACGTGGCGCCGGTACAGGTCGGGGGCGGAAAAGAGGGGGGTGATGACTAGGGGGGGGGGGATTTCATGGCGCGGGCCATGATTTTTCCTCAGATTTCATGGCGCCTCATCTTGTTTCATTACGTCCCAGGCCCCCCCGCTGCGCCGCGCACATGCCGCCAGTCATGATTTGCACCCCCCCCCTCTTGGACCCCCCCTTTTGGCCGCTCGAACAGGGAGCCCGGGACCAACCGCCTGTGGTTTCTCAAGGAGGCCACGGGCGAGTCGTTCTTCGCGGACTCTCCGGGCGCCTGGCGCCAGTACGCGGGCGCGGGCGGCCGCACCTGGTGGTGGAGCCAGGACGAGCCTCGGGCCTGGCCAGACCCGCCCGTGCGCAGATCCCCCCTCGGGGCCCTGTCTCCCCCGCGCCCCAGAAGGACTCCATCCGGTGCAGTTTGTACAGAAATCGAAGACATGCAAAGATGGACAAGGCGAGTGGAGTAATTAGCGACTGGTCCCGCTTGCATGCAACACTGTCGCGCTCGCCAAATCAGGCGGTATTGGCCTCATTTGTAATTATGGGTACCTTCCCCGATTCATGGATCTGGCGCCCACGCGCCAGATCCATGGACCCCTACTCCGCGTCAGCACGTGCCCGAAGAGCTGAGGAGCCGGGGCGAATGCGGGGTGTGGCCGCCCACAGGAGTCGAACACGAGTTTCTGGGAGGACGAGTGCGACGGCGCTGCCGGAGACGACGACGGCGTCGCCGAGGAGGGAGCGTCTTGGGACGACCTGGAGGCCCTCGGCCTCCAGCACCTGAGGCGGAAGGTCCACCTGGAGCCTTGCCTGAAGGACGGTGGGGAGGTGCGCTCGGCAATCAGGTGCTGGAGGGCAAAGGGAGATGCTCGCCCCCCCATTCCCCTTGGAGGAGGGGTGGCGGTTGGGCGTCCTGTTTCACGCACACTCGAGGTACTCTGGGAAAACATGGGAGTTCCACGTGGTCCTGTTCCGGAGCAACAGCAACGACAAGCTCGGCCTGAATTTCATCCTGGACCAGGATTCTCACATTCCAGTGATTTCTCAGGTGAAGGACGTGGGCATGTGCGCCAGTCACAATTTAGAGATGCAGCAGTTTCCAGAGGAGAGCCCATTGCATCAGATGCAGGTTGCTGCAGGCGACAAAGTGAAGGTTGTAAACGGTTTCACCTCTGCCGAGGACATTAGGAATGAGTTGACAAACGCTCTTGTCGTGCACCTCAGGGTGGTGCGGCCAGGGCATTCTCCAGAGATGGCTAGCACCCGTGGCCGTGCAGCAGGAACGGTGTTTCAGTGAGGCTCGGTGGAAAACAGACCGAGCAGGGAGGAGATCGGCAGGAGTTGCAGTGTGGTGCGAGTGCGCTGGAGAATCAAAGGGGGGGGAAGGGTGCGAGCGGAGGTGAGGAGAATGGAGGGGATGGAGCACCAGGCAATGAGTTACCACAAGCGAGGACGATGTCACGTCCGCCAGGACGGCCTGCACTAACAGTGCACCAGGCTTTCGTCGAACGTGCGAACAGATGGCCGCGATCTACAACAATATCTAGTTTGGAGTTCTATGTCCGCCACCGCGCTGGCTACAGGGTAAGCGTGTGTCAAGCCTCATATTTACATGTGACGTTCTGCTGCTACTTCTGGTGAAGCAATGACGGCCACATGACTTCACGATGCAGCCGCAAGCCAGCCTGGCGACCCGGGCCACCACTCCCAGATCCAAGAAGCCCCCTAGAAGCGTTCCAGGAGGCGTGGTGTTGCATCGTGGGTGCTCGTTGTCTTGCCGTTGTCCCGTGGTTTTCGCATGCGGTTGTCCTCTGCTGTTCTCCCATAGGTCGTGCCTCTCCAGGAATTACTCGACGTTTCGTGCGTTCGATGCGTGCCGTACTTCTGTTCGTGCCGTTTGTACGTCGGTTTGCATGTTGATCACATTTCGAAATTGGTTGCGAACGTCATTCCGATTGCAGGCGGATGGGCATTCCGGATTTCACTCAGAATCATGGACATTCCGATGTGCATTATAGTGTCCATACCGGGTTTGCATTATATATTTGTTTGTTTGGATATACGCATGTATACATCTATGCATAGAGAGAGAGTGCAACCGGATTTGCATACCGATTTGGATGTCGTTCGACATTTCGAACGGAAGATGTATTTGCATTTCGATTTAGCTTTGGATTTGCGGTCCGAGTTGTATTCGAACATGTTCAAGAAGTCAAGTGGATTTGTGTTCCGAACTGCATTTGCCACAGGACAGCCATGGGAAAATTACGGAACAACCCAAGGCACAACCACAGGACAGCCCCCACGTGACAACAAAAGGGCAACCCACGCGACAACCGCGGGACGATTTCGAAGGAAAACAACACATAGGATTACCCACGGCCACGTGACAACCCAAGGGACAACCGCAGGACAACCACGGGACAGCCACGGGAAAATTGTGGCATGAAACGCACAACCAGAGGAAAAGGTGTTTGCATGATTTGGCCCCAGGTACGCCAGCACGTCGTCGCTTTTGCGCAGCTCCGCCTCGCCTGCACGACACGAACCGAAACCGACACCGATTCCCCGACCTCGCCAGAGACAAAAGTACCACTACCACCAGCTTTGAGGGTGGCTGTCCCATCCTTTCGAGCTGGCGGCACCTCGTTCCGGGCATGCCTCTGGAGAGTTCCCGGAAAGACGTGCCACCAGCTTGAGTGGAGAGAGCGGCCACACGCCTAGCTGGTGGTAGTGGTACTTCTGCCTCTCCTGACGACCGGGGGAGTGTTGATCTCCCACGGGCCCTGGAAAATCGCCGCCCGCTTTCTCAACTCGGGGGAACCAGCCAGGGTTCCCATGAGGGGTGATCGGGGGTGGACAGAACCCCCAACAGTGACACGTCGATTAGTGAGTTGTCCGTTTTCGGTTCTCGAGAGGGCGCCGTGGCCGTTATTTTCCAGGCTTGCGCCCGCCAGGTTTGGGCCTCAGATCGTTTTCACTAAACCACGTTTTACTAAAGGGGGGTCTGTCCATCCCCGAAACCAACCAGGGCTCCCATGAGGGGTGGTCCCAGAGCTTTTTTGGGCCACGCCCAGAGGGCTGAACTGAAAATGCGCATCTCCCGGAAACAACAAAACCCTCCTTGTCAAAAGCGTACCTGGTTTTTCCTTCGATTGACCATCTGAAAGGGCCGCCTCGACGGCCGCTGGAAAATCAACGCTTACTGGATCCCAAATATTCGCGCGCCGTCGTGGGGCCAGTACGTCAATTGATCCTTATTTTTCTCTTTAATGATATTTTGGTTTTAATATTTCGTGCAAGATCACGTGGCTCTGTAAACATTTCCGCAACCATTCCCGGTACCACTGTTCCATGAATGTTTTTTCCCGCGTGGCTTACTACGGCCTTCAACGGTGATGGTATATTTTTCCATTTTGGAGGGATGATGAATTGGAAGATTAATCAAAATAACATCATGCACCTCGAGATGGCACCAAATATGTTCAAGAAAACTCCAAACCCCTTCAAGACGGATCCCAGCAAAAATAATTATCCGAGAGAGGCTCCAGAAGGATCCAAAACAGCTCAGAAGCGTTCCAACAGCACAAAAGGATACGTTCAAATGGCAATGTCTGGCGTTTTGGAAAGGCAACGACCCTCGATCTCTTCCTTCCACGTCGTCCGCCCAGCCGATGTGGAAGGTAGTAGTGTAAGATTGCGTATTGAATGTCTCTGTGTGTCTTGCTTGTCTTCAAAAGTCCTCATATGTCCGTTATGATGTGTCAATGTCTTATTTGTCTTGGAATGTCTTTACATGGTAAATTCAATCATCATCGTCATCATGATCATCATCACCTTCATTTGCACAACCATCGGTCATAATCAAGATCACCACGATGACCATCATCATCGTCGTCGGCATCATCATCATCATCACAATCATCGAAATCATCATCATCATCATCATCATCATCATCATCATCACCATCATCGTCATCATCATCATCATCATCGGGGGCCGCTGCCGCGCGGCCCAAGCGGCCGCGAATCGGTCGCGGCGCGGCGCGGCCGCGCCTCCGGAGCCTCGACTCCTCGAGGATCTTCCTCCTCTTCCTTTTCTTCCTTACCCTCCTCGACCCCTGCCCCTTACCTCCTCGACCCCTCTCTCCGCCATGCCCTTCTCGACCTCCCTCCTCCTCGTCCTCCTCCTCCTCCTCCTCCTCCTCCTCCTCTTCCTCCTCCCCCCCCTCTTCCTCCTCGCCCTCCTAGCTCGGGCCTCTCCTCACGCAATGTCAGAGCTTCAAGGCCGCTTGGCCAAGGTGATCATGAATGAGAAGCTCTCGAGCAACGGCGATCTCATACGATGGGACAACCAGGGAACAAAACGCACTAAAGGTCTCTGCGCGCACTTACTAGAGACGGGGCAATGGGCTACTGTTCGAGCTCGGCGACTTGGAGATCGCGATTCATTGGGAGACGGGGCTGAAAGACATTCCTCCTCCTCCTCCACCTCCCCCCCCTCCTCCTTCTTATCATTTTCCTCTCCTCCTCCTCCTCTTCACCCCCTTTTTGCCCCCCCTCCCCCAGCTTCCTCATCCTTTTCTCCTTCTCAATCCAAGTGGTCCTCCTCCTCCTCCTCTTCCTCATCCTCTTCCTCATCCTCTTCTTCCTTCTCCTCCTCCACCTCCTACGCTCGGCTCCTCCTCCTTCTCCTCCCCCCCCCTTCCCTCCTCCTCCCTCTCCTCGCCCTCGTCCTCTCTACTCTGTCCCTCGCCCCTTTTGTCCTACTCACCGTCGTCGTCGTCCTCCTCCTCTTCCTCATCCTGCTTATGTGGCTGTTTGTTCCCAGGGGCTCCAGCGCGACCCGGAGAAGGCGCGCAGGGAGGCGAAGAAGCCTCTGTCCATGCTCTCGGCGCGGAGGCGCATCGGGGGGCGGGGGGCGGCATTCAACTAGGAGCCACCTCGACAGACCCCAGCGCGCGCGATGCCTCCAGCCCTGCGGCCGCCGCTGAGGTGGAAAAGGAAGGGGCGGTGGATTTCCCAGCCCCGGAAACCCACCACCCCTTCCTTTTCCACCTCAGCAGCGGCCGCAGGGCTGGAAGCATCGCGCGCAGTGGGGCCTGCGGGGAGCACTGTTTGAAGAGTCGCGCCCATGGAAGGGAAGGCCGCGGCGTCCACAGAGAGCTCAAGAAAACGATGCAGAGTCTGAAGGGGGAGCTTAACAAGACGAAGGTCAGCAATGTCGCCAGTCCGCAACCCAATGGCCAGAACACTTGCGCTCCTAGGTAGCACGATGATGGAGAGCGATGACGACATCGACAGCCTCGAGAGCGTCGGAGGCCTGGGCAAGAGGAACTGCGGCAAGAGCGAGGGCAAGGACAAGCCGATCCAGGACGGTGCCGCTCCTGATAGGGCCATCCCGATCCAGGACAAGGCTGCGGGCGGGCCGAACTCCGCCGGGCGCCTGGCTCGCTCGATGGAGCGAGCGAGGGGGCCCTGCCATCGCTCGGACGCGTGCATTTTTTTCTCGGCGGGGACCATCCAAGACCACCTTGGACAATCGAGCCAAAAAAACATGCACGAAACCGAAAACATGCACTGGAAATGGACGGCCGAGCGATGGCGAGGTGAACGCCTGGCGAGGTATCGGCCTCACCCCCCTCGAGGGTTCCAGCTCCAGCGAGTCCTATTACGAGGAAGATGTCGACGAGGACGGCGCAGACGAGGGCTCCATGGGGGACGGCCACGGCTACGACGAGAGCGAGGGCGAGCGCGACGAGGAACCTGACAGCGGCCGCAAGAAGGAGGGCAGCAGCGGCACGCACCACTTCAAGCCCGACGACAAGCAGAATAACGACTTCAAGCTGGTGGGCAGCTGGGGGATCAGGCTTTGCGATGGGGCCAGCGCGGACGGCGCCGTCATCAGCAAGACAGGAGCGTGCATCTTCACTTGGGCGGACGGCGACAGGCGGTGCCCAACCCCGCGGATCAAGATCTTGGATGCGCTGAAGACCGACAGCAACAGGAAGAGCGCGGGTAAGGACAAAGGCAGAGATAAGGCTTCCGCCGACGAGAGTTCCCCGCGCGCCAGCAGCAGCAAGAAGGGCAAGAAGGACGAGGGCAAGAGCGGAGTCAGCGGCGGCAAGAGCAGCCACGACGAGAATGAGGAGATCCTCGACGGCAACAGCAAGAAGAGGAAGAGCGTGAAGACCTCTGACGAGGAGGGCAACGGCATCGCCTCGGGCATGGGCAAGAAAGTCAAGGGCTGGGGAAAAGGGGGCGATGACGGCACCTCCGCGACCAAGGGCAAGGGCAAGGGAAAGGGGGGCGACGACAAACCCGCGGGCAAGGGCAAGGGCAAGGGCAAGGACCAGCAGGCCAACATGACCACCATCAA